CATTCACCTGATCTCACGTCCATGGCAAGTGATGGAGCTGTTTGAACTCTGTGTCTCTGTTTACCTCTCCAAGTAACACCTCAGGCGTTCCCCTCCCCCGCTGCAGCCCAGCTCCTTTCATAGTTTGGGTCCAGTCTGTCCAAGGAAAATGGGAAGCAAACCCCCAGTGCAAAGGAAGGCTTGAGGTTGATACGTGAAGGTGGAAAGCTCACATGCCCCTCATCGTTTTATAAGGGAACACGTGGTGGGCACTTACTCAATGCTGAGACCGCTCAGGGCATGTCAAGGAAGGATCATTACCAACACTTAGCACGTGAGCCCCAGAACCTCAAGGCTTTCTGAGGACGCCACTCGTGGGAACGAACATTGGCCTGTGTGTTAGGAATCTTTCACAGTCAGATGAGCCTGGGGGAAACTGGACACTGGAGTCAATGAAAATTGGCCATGAGAAGTTTGATACCTCCTCCTACTCTTCATTTATTTTTAGTGTTTATTCATTTTTGAGAGACAGAGAGTGAGCAGGGGAGGGGCACAGAGAGAGACAGGGAGGCACAGAATCCGAAGCAGGCTCCAGGCTCTGAGCTGTCAGCACAGAGCCCGACATGGGGCTCGAACCCATGAACCACAAGATCATAACCTGAGCTGAAGTCTGTTGCTTAATCAACTAAGCCACCCAGGTGCCTCAGAAACTTTTTTTTTAAAAGAACATATTTGTTTTGAGAGCTAGATAGCCAGTGGGGGAGGGGCAGAGAGAGCGAGAGAGAGAGAGAGAATCCCAAACATCCCTGTCAGTGCAGAGCCCAATGTGGGGCTCAATCCCACGAACCTCTGGATCATGACCTGAGCTGAGATCTAGAGTTGGTCGCTTAACTGACCGAGCCGTCCAAGAGCTCTGACGAAACCCATAGTTCAGAGTTCAGTCTGTGATGTGTAGTTCTCAGTGCTTGGGCAAATGTAAACTATCGTGTATTCTCTGTCACAGTATGGAAGTTTTACTGCCCCCCAAATGCCCTGTGCTGTGCCTGTCCGTCACTCCCCTCCTTCCCCAGAACCACCGATCTTTTTAGTTTTGCCTTTTCCAGAGTGTCACTGAGTTGGAATCAGAGCATATAGCCTTTTCAGATCGGCTTCTCTCACTTGGTAATATGCATGTGAAGTTCCTCTGTGTCTTTTCAAGGCGTGATCACTCATTTCCTTTTATGGCTGAAGAATATTCTGTTGTATGATTGTCCCACAGTTTATCTTATCAATTCACCTACTGAAGGGCATCCTGACTGCTTTCTGTGTTTGGAGATTATCAGTAAAGCTGCTACAAATGTTCCTGTGGCGTAGGGTGCCGGTTTTGTGTAGATATAAGTTTTCAACTTAGTTGGCTAAATGCTTAGGAGTGCAATTGCTGGATTATATAGTAAGACTATGTCTAGCGTTTGGAAAATGCTGAACTGTCGTCCCAGGTGGCCATACCATTTTGCATTCTACCCTCAACGTATGAAGTTCCTGTTAGCATTCGGTGTTGTCATTTTTTGGGTCATGGGGACTACTTTAATAGATATTTGAGGGTATTTTGTTTTAATGTGCAATTACCTAATGATATATGTTCAGCATCTTTTCACATGCTTACTTTCCACTTATATATCTCTTTGGTGAGAGATTTCCAGATATGTTGCCCATTTTAAAATCAGGTTGTTTTCTTGTTGTTGAGCTCCGAGAGTCCTTTGTATGTTTTGGAAACAATCCTGTATCAGAGATGGATTTTGCAAATATATTCTCCCAGTCTATCACTTGCTTCTTCATTCTCCTAACAGTGGCTTTTGTAGATGAGAGGTTTTAAATTTTGACAAAGTTCAACTTACCAATTTTTTCTTTCAATAGATCATGCTTTGGATGTTGTATCTAAAAACTCATCACTGGGGCGCCTGAGTGGCTCAGCTGGTTAAGCATGCGACTTTGGCTCAGGGCATGATCTTGCGGTTTGTGAGTTCGAGCCCTGCATCGGACTCTGTGCTAAGCTCACAGCCTGGAGCCTGCTTCGGGTTCTGGGTCTCCCTTTCTCTCTGACTTTCTTTCTCGCTCATGCGCTCGCTCGCGCGCTCTCTCTCTCTCTCAAATAAACATTTAAAAATTAAAATTCATTGCTAATCCCAAGGTCATGTAGATTTTCTCCTTTGTTAACTCCTAGAAGTTTTATAGTTTTGCCTTTTACATTTAGACCTATGATTCATTTTGAGTCAGTTTTTGTGAAAAGCGTAAGCTCTATGACTAGATTATTATTATTTTTTGCATATGGATGTCCAATTGTTCTAGAACCATTTGTTAAAAAGGATATTCTTTCTCCATTAAAATGCCTTTGCTCCTTTGCCAAATTAGTTGAGTCTATTTGTGTGGGCTCCTTCCGCCTTTTAATGAAAAATTTGGCTGCTGTTTAGGGGGAAATACTGATAGCATTTGGTGCAAGCAGCCTCTAGTCAGCAACCAAAAAGAAGTGTTTGGAATATAGATCTTGGGCCCTGGATACCCGCTGGAATCATTGCTGCTGCGGCCCCCTATTAACCTTCACTTTTATCACAGTGCAATAGCTCCTCTCCTGCTCTACTTGATTTCCTGTTTTCCTTGTTGCCTCCCACCTTATAGGACGCACATTTGAAAAACCTGCAAAACACATTAAATAAAATAGTCTAATTTGCCACCTACCTACCACCCTCTAGTATTTCAGAAAGGGGAATTTCAGTGATATCACGATAATCGTAGGCGGTCTATTTTCCTGTCTGAGGCCTTACAAAGTCCCTTAGGGGTCCTTCCATAAGCTAGGCTCCTAACTTGCAAAAAGACCTCTGGGACATTACCAAAGAGACAAGATGGATTCTGAGCTCACAAGCTTTGTTAGTTACCGACGACCAGCTGTGGAAATTGGTTAACACCGGTCTCAGTTTGGAGTGAGGATTTCCACCACTTTCCTGTAATTTAAATGACTGGCACCTGCCAACTAATCAAAACATACAAAGAGGCCATTTCCCCAGGTTTAGTTCGGAATTTCCGAGCTACTAACGACAGGCACGACTAGCAAGCCAGAGGGCCGGTTTGGCTGCGCGGCTACTCGAGAGTGTGCGGTAGCCGAGGGCCGCGTCCCCGTAAAGCCGAGAGCTGTAATGATGTCAACTTGTTATTTACTTTCCAAATCTGAATGACTGAGCAAGGCGAAAGGAGAATCAATCAACCACAATGTGACCCTACAGGCGGAAAAAACGCAGCGCTCCCACCAGCAGGCGGTGGGGGAAGGGAAGCACGTGTAACCCGGGCAGGGTTGCATCATGAGCTTGCTCGAGCTTTCAATTGCACCCTTGGTTTTTCGATTGCATGTAATACCTCAGCATCAGTCCGCACAAGCCCAGGGAGCCGGGGAGCAACGAAGGGCAGGCCCGAGGGAAGGCCCCACCACGTCCTTTTGGGGGGCCTTGAATGGCAACTGGTACATAATAAGACACAATCTATTCTGCTGATTCACAATTATGGAGACTGTGTAAGTGTGTATTTTTTATTGATGTGCTCTAATAATGGTGTAGCAACAGTCGTTTTACATCATTGATGTTTTACAGCAATATTTGGCAGGATGATTTTTAGGTCCGCCCTTTCGATGGCGGTCCAGCCCCTTAAAAACTCACCTCGGCCCCCCCTCCCCCCCCCCCGCCCCCAACAACCTGAACAACAAATGGTCCACTGTCCCAGAAAGGAGCAAGTGAGGTTACGGTTTAAAATGCTGAGTGTACTGGGCTCATTATACCCCAAAGGGAGGGGTAAACTTATCTTAAAATACTCAACAAAACCGACCCCGAAGTGCTGGGTGGTGGGCACGGTTACCTGATTAATTGAATTAAGGACGAGTGGGGGGGCAGGGGTCTCCAAACTGAAAGGGAGGAATGAGCCCTGGGGACTTTAATGCACTGGGGACAGGCCACGTAAGCCTCTGCAACAGAAAGCCCTTTGCAAAGCCTGTGGGTGGGGTGGGGTGGGGTGGGGGTCTGGAGTGAGGAAGCCTGGGGGCCCCGGTACCCCCAACTCCAGAGGCCTCCACAACCGAGGTCCTGGCCGCCTCCTCCGTGTGTCTGAGTTTCTTTCTCCACAAGCATTTCTGGCTTTTCCCGGGAGGTGTTTTGCAAAGGTCGAGGCTCCGCCTGAGCCCCCACTTTTTTGGGAGAGGGAAGAGGCCTTTGGGGTGTATTCTAAGCCGGTTTTGAGGGAGAAGCACCCTCGGGCAGGGGCAGGTTGCAGCGGGCTGTTAGGGTAGCTGACTAGCTGCTGCTTTGAGGTGGGGGAGGGTAACACTCCAGCAGTGGCTTGGGTTCCCCTCCCCCCTGGAAACCGCGGGGGTGGCGGCCCGGGTTCCTGTACCCTCTTGGCAGTGGGAGAAAGGCTGGGTTTGGGAATAGGGCTGCGTGGGGGTAGGCCCGTGTTTCCTTCATCTCCCAGGGAGGCCACTGGGAAAGGGAGAGGCCCGGGTTCCCCTCACCCACTCTAGGCGTGGGGGCGAGGGCAGAGCTTAGGGTGAAGGGCTGTGTCGGGTCGCAGGTTCCCCCCATCGTGGGGGAGGGGACGGATTAGGACGCGCGGACTCTCACCCCCTTCGCCGTGGGGGGAGGGGCGGGCCTGGAGGCCCCTCCCCCGGCCGTGGGGGAGGGGCAGGCTTGGGACGCGGCCCCCCCCCAGGGCTCAGAGGCGGGGCCGAATGGACTCGGTTCCCCTCCCCCGGCCGTGGGGGAGGGGACGGGTTGGGGGGGTTGGGGCGCGCTTCCCCCCCGCGCCCCGGCCGTGGGGGAGGGGCCGGCCGGGGCGGCCCCTCTGGCAGTCCTCCCGGCCCGGGTCGGCGCGCTGGCGGCCTTTCCCCCCCAAACCCCCCCCTCCGCCACCGGCGGAGGTCACTGCCCGTGCCGGTCCCTCCCGCCGTCCCGCCCTCTCTCGCCGCCGCCGCCGCTCCCGCCCCAGCCCCCCCCCTCCGCTCTCGGGAGCGAGGAGCCGCCAGCGCCCCCGCCCCGCCGCCGCCGCCGCCGCCGCCGCAGCGCCCTCGGCCGCCATTCGGCACCCGAAACTTTCCAGCGCCCGCGCCTCTCGGGGACTCGCGGCGGCGGGGCGGGGGCGGCCCGGGGGCGGCGCGAGGCTGCTCCGGGGCGCCGGGCCCTCCTCGGCCGCGGCACGGCCCGGGCTCGGCGACGGCCGGCGGCAGGGAGGCTCGGAGCGCGGCGGCGCCGCCACAAGTTGCGCTGCTGGCGGCGAGGTGAGTGCGCGGGGCCCGGCCAGCCGGGCGCGGGGCAGGGGGCGCAAACTTCTCCGGCGGGGGTGGATAGGGGTGCTGGCGGGAGGCTCGGGGCGCCCGCACGCCCCGCCCGCCGCCGGGGCTCTGGAGGGGCTGGTCCCCAACTGTCCCCAGGGCTCGGGCTGGGGTGCGGCGCGCTCCCTGCAGGCTGAACAATACCCCGGTGTGGCCGCTCCCCAAAGTGCCGGCGCGTTGGGGGCGGGCGGAGGCTGGGGCGCGGGGTGGGGGGAAGGCGGCCGGTAAGTTTGAGCAAGCGCTCGGTCTGTCCCCCGGCGCCCCTTTGTCTGCGTCTTCTGGGGCTGGCGGGCCGAACCTGCGACGCCGCGGGATCCCCCCGTGGGGGAGGGGCGCCCCATTCATCCCCGGGCGCCAGCCAGCCCGCCCGGGACCCGGGGGAAGCGCGGCGCGCGGTGGAGTGAGTGGCGGGCGAGGCGGCGCGGGCCCGGCGGCCGCTCAGTTTCCGAGAGGCAGAAACTGTCAAGGAAGTCGGGAGCTCCCCGGCCCGAGCGAGGGGACCTGGCTGAGGGCGACATCGGTGGGTGGGTGGGTGGGGGGCGCCCTTGGTCACGCGGGGGTCTGGGGAGCGCGGCCTGGAGAGGGTGCAGACCTGTTGCTCTCGGGGTTGGGGGGGGAGGGGTGCCCCCCGATCGGTGTGTTGGGCTGCGCACTCCAGGGGGACTATGCCCATGGGGGGGCGGTGCTCGGAACGGCGTGGGGGTGTGCCTTTGGGTGTGGGTGACCGACTGGTGTGTGACAATTTGGATTTGGGGTCGCTAGAGGCCCGCCCGCTCTGGGGCAGGGCCTGGACTTCACGTGCGTCGCCCGCGCGCGCGGTCAGGCCTTGGCCCGGACTCGCTGCCCCGCCTGGCATTCTCCGAGCCGACTGCATTGGAAATTCCAGAAAGTTAGAGTCGGAGGTGGTGTTTTCCCCTCTCTCCTAGTCGGTAATGTTCCGGAGCAACAAAAACCGACCTTCTGTTGCATCTTAAAACTCTTTCTGGTTTGCACTGTCACATGCGGCTTTACCCGACTTCTGGCTTTTTTTCTCCCGAAGTGCCTCCCGCCCGCGTGCCCCCGCCTGCCCCCGCCTGCTGGAGTCCCTAGTTTAACCTGGAAGGCGAGGGGCGGGACTCTAGGGGAGGGAGAGCCCTCCTAAGGTCCCGAGCCTTGGCTTCCGGGTAGCAAATGGCTCTGGACGATTTTATGAAAAGTTTACAACTAGTCATTCCAGGAAGAGACGCGATGGGGGGTGGGGGGACGGGGGTGGGTGGGTAGGCAAGAATGTGGAGTGTGGCACAATTAAGACGTTAAGATGAGCTTTAATTTTAAAGGATGTTAGCGTCTCAGATGTGCTGCAGATCGTTCTGGAAAACCAGCCGGCTGGATAACTAATCCAGGGATAAAAGGGGCAGTTCGTCATTTGACCCAGTTATTAACATGGCCCTTAAGGGGATTCCAGCCCTTTAGTGAAATGCACACCTGTGGGACAAAAGCGGAGATTCTAGAAATTTTATTTGGTGGTGTCCCCTGGGGGGTAGTGTCACTGGATCCTCTGGGGTTGCCTTTTCTTTTTCCTTTTATCCAGAGCGTGGTCAGCCCAGTAATTAGCAACCCCCCTGCGTTTAAATTTCCCAAACCTCCACGCTCCTGAATGTTTGGACGTGTTAAGGGGCTGGGTAAGGGTGGTGTGCGAGGGACTGGAGGTTGGTGTTGAATCCCACCTCTGCCTAAGGGAGCTAGAGGTTCCCCCCTCTGGGTGCTGGCATCAGGAGTCCGCCTGCCTGGGGTGTTTGGAGGGGTTCTGTGGGAAGAGGTGGACAGAGCCCTTGCACCCACCTCAGTCAGGACATCGTGCTTGGAGCCCCATTTGGCTTCAAGTAGCAAAAGGGTCCACCCTCTTCACACTCTACTGCTGACCTTGACGGTCTGCACCTTTTCCCAGTTGTCCTTTCTGTATGTGCACAAATAAGACTTGAAATCGTGGCGCTCACTGCTGTGAGGGACAAAGAGAAAGAACGTGAGTGTAAGTTTTGGAAACTATAAAGCTGCCTGTGAATTTTAGTTGTTGCTCTTGTGCAAAGCAAGTAATCGTACGTCATTTGAAGGCCATGCACTGAGGATCTTAGGGCACCTGATGCCCTGTGTGTGGTACTTATTATTTCCATCCTGCTGTAGATGACACTGAGTTGCTAACTTACAGTGGGGCAAGGATTGTCTGATTCTTGAAGCCCAGCTCTTACACTTGGAGTTCCTGTTTTCCTGTTCACCTAGTATGAATTTTCACATTTGGAGACCTTAAGTTCCGGAAATGACACGCACACGTTCATGAATGAGAACGTACATTGAAATCTGCATGGAGGTACAGATGTAGGAGGTCCAGCGAGTCAGGAAACATTGACCACAGTGGAAGAATTGCTTTCTGTAGTTTCATGGCTGATATAGTAAGCGCTAGCCCACCACGTGTGAATATTTATAGATTCAAGTTAATTAAAACTAAATAAACAATTCTGTTCTTTGCATTTCTATAGTGGTAACTCACATACTCTGTAGATGCCCCTGGCTAGTGGCCACCATATAAGATGGCACAGGACATGTAGAAAGTTCTCGTATAGAGTGTGCTACTCTGTAGTTCCTGAAATGAAATATTAATAAAAGGGGGCGCCTGGGTGGCTTAGTCGGTTAAGCGTCCGACTTTCGCTTAGGTCATGATCTCGCGGTTCGTGGGTTCGAGCCCCGCGTCGGGCTCTGTGCTGACTGCCAGCTCAGAGCCTGGAGCCTGCTTCAGTCTGTGATTCCCTCTCTCTCTGACCCTCCCCTTCTCACGCTGTCTCTCTCTCTCTCTCCTGGAAATAAATTAAAAAAAAAGAAAAATATTAATAAAAGTTAGTGTACTTTCTGTAGGGGGAGGGGAGAGGCTCTAAAAGTTAGAAATAATTCACAGAGAAGCCTTAAAAAAAAAAAAAAGACCTTTTCAGCTATGATTTTTCCCAGGAAAGTGATTTCAGTAAATGCATTCTTTTTTTTCTTTTTTACTTTTCCTTTTTTAAGTAGGCTTCATGCCCAACGTGGAGCTTGAATTCACCACCCTGAGATCAAGAGTCAAATGCTCTACCAACTGAGCCAGCCAGGCACCCCCAGTGAATGGAATCGTGCCCTGAAATTGACGCTGATGGTTTTGGCTTGAGGTGCTTTGGATCAGTTCTGAATTAGAAAACCAGAACTCCAAGCCCGAGTCTCTCACTGAGTGCTTCACCTGGGGGAGGCTGGTAGCATCTCTGTGCATCAGTTTCCCCCCCTGGAGAAAGGTATAGGCACTAGCCAGTCCCCCAGAGGCCCGCCTAAGCAGATTCTGGGGGCTGTCCTCTTGGATGGTGGAGCCCAACTTGTCACTGTCGGTGAGGCCCTGTGTGGGTGATTGAGGGTGCGGCCATGTGTGATGTGTTCTAGCCCCCTGTTTGCTGTGGGTACCACAGGCTTTCAGCCCTAGCCCTGCCCCCAATCTGAAGTTTAAGTCTTTTGAGTTTCGAGGTTCAGTCTCTGGAGGTCAAAATCTTCCATATTAAAAAGGCAGATAAGGAATCCTTCCAACAGAGTGAGATTTCACAATCGTCAGAGTAAATTTTTTTTTTTTAATGGCTGTTTCCTGTACACCAGGTCCCTGAGTCAGGATGTTATTTTTATTAGTTACTGTGATCTTTGCACAGCTCTTTGTATTTTTTATAGTAATTGGTTAGAAATTTAATTTGTAAATGAGGACGGAGGGAAAAGCCAATTTTGTGTCTGGCAGAGAGGTCACTTCCCAGATCACCTCTCTGCCGTTTGTACTCTCTCATTTTTGCTTCTTCAGGGGTCTGTGTGACCCATCAGCTTTTGGCGGCAAGTACTTATCAAATAGTAGAATGTCCCTGATCGTCTTTCACTGGTGGGAGAAGTGTCCCTAGGGCAGGAGGCCAAGGCCCAACAGAACTGTCACAGGGAGGTGCTCTGTGCCAGGAGTTCTCGCGGACAGGGGCCCGCCTGTGGGTCGGCGAACAGCTCACCCGCGGCTGCCCCCTTGCCTGCTTCCCGCTGGGGTGTCCAGAGTCCGGGGCTCTGCACACAAGGCACCGGCAGGCCGAACCCCGGCCTAGAGGACAGTCACCAGTGCTCTGCGGGGCGAGAGGACGCTGCCGCAGCTGTGGTTTCCTGATCCTTGCATTTGCACCCTTCTTCCGCACTTAAAAAAAAAAAAAAAAAGAGTAACGTACTACATTCAGTAAGTTGTTTGTCCTTCACCCCTAAAGAGTTTTATTTATAGGAGGCCTTGGTGGCTCTGTCGTTGGTTGAGCATCCAACTTCAGCTCAGGTCTTGATCTCATGGTTCACGAGTTCGAGCCCCGTGTCAGACTCTGTGCTGACAGCTTGGAGCCTGGAGCTGCTTCTGATTCTGTGTCTCCCTCTCCCTCCCTGCCCCTCCCCCACTCATGCCCTGTCTTGGTCTTTCAGAAATAAATGTTTGGGGCGCCTGGGTGGCTCAGTCGGTTAAGCGTCTGACTTCGGCTCAGGTCATTATCTTGCGTCTGTGGGTTCGAGCCCTGCTTCGGGCTCTGTGCTGCCAGCTACCTCAGAGCCTGGAGCCTATTTCAGATTCTGTGTCTCCCTCTCTCTCTGCCCCTTCCCAGCTCGTGTTCTCTCTCTGTCTCAAAAATAAATAAACCTTAAAAAAATAACCAAAAAAAAGTTTAAAAAATCAATGTTAAAAAACACTTTTATTTATTTTTTGGAAAAGTTTTTTTTTTTCCCTGAGAGAAAGAGCACGTGCTCACTAGTGGAGAGGGGCAGCGAGTGAGCGATACACAATCCCAAGCAGGCTCCTCACTGTCAGACTCCTGGCTCCTGAACCGTCTGATCAGGACCTGAGCTTTAGTCAGACACTCAACCCACTGAGCCTCCCGGGCGCCCCGCCCCTAAGGGCTTTTAAA